TCAATGCCAACCATGATAGAAAAGGGCCCAGAGGTCTCGGGGAAAAGAAGGGGCAGGAACAATAATGCCAGCGGCGCGGCCAACGCTTCCAACAGCGCCTCCGCCAGCGCCAACAACGCCAACAATGGGAATAATAAAAGTTTGGCAGCGGCAGCAGCGCCCAATGGGAATAGCAGCAGCAACAACTGGGAAGAAGGCAGCTCCGGCTCTTCCAGCGATGAGGAGCACGGTGAGTCTTTGGGGGGTGGGGGGGATGGGGGGATGGGGGTGTGTGTGTGGGGGAAAGGGACGACCGAGAAGGTTTGGCCCGCTTTCTCGCCTTCAAAAACCCACAACTCTTTTTATCACAGCTACAACCCGCGCGGGGGGGAGGAGGGGGAGGAGGAGGGAAAGCTAGAATTGGGAAATAACAATTCTTTGTGTTGTTTTTTTTTGAAACCTTGTCAGGAGGAGGAGGAATGAGAGTGGGACCCCAATATCAAGCGGTTGTTCCTGACTTTGATACTGGTGAGTCGTCGTCCCCCCCAAAAGAAAAAAACGGGGGGGAAAGGCATAAATCTCTCCCTTCTTTCACGACTTCTCCATCCAATTTTTTGAAAGGTGTTTCTCTCTTTACACCTTCCCACTCTTCCTACCACCTCCTTCTCTCCCCCCCACCCCCACCTGATGGCGATCTTCCTCGCGGGTAAAGCTCACGAGTGCAATATCTACAGGCTTGTCTCTTTGCTAAGGCTGCAAACCAAGGTGGCACACTGTGGCCAGCTTCTTAATGTGGACTTTATTGTGGGGGTGGGGGGTTATTTGCGTGGAGTTTAATGGATCTTGATTCTCCCCCAAGGGGGAAGTCTTGTCTCCATCGCTACCAGGCTTGTGTAATTAACTCGGGTTCCCCCCCCCTCCGGAAAATATTAAAAGTGAGATTAGAGAACACTTCCTGTTGTTTTAGTTGTTTTTTTTTAAAGTGAGTTTTCAATTGAAGAGGGGAGAAGGTAACATTTCCCCTCCCATGCCTAGATTGCATGTCTGGCCAGCAGTTGAAAGAGAGAAAGAAAGAGAAAGAAAGAAAACGGGAAGGGGTGTGCGTGTGTGTGTGTGGGGGAGAATTGATGATGGATAGATGGAATGAGTTCAGGAAAGGTGGCAGCATGCTTGGGAATGGCTGGGGGAGGGGGGGGGAGAAGGACAGTGGAGTTATTCTGGGGTTTTACTTCCTTAAAATGAAATCTATTTTAGAAATAAATGTTTCTCTTTTTGTCCTTCCCTTTGCTGGTGTGGAAGATAACTGGTTAACATAGCAAGGAAAAAGACGCTTTTAATCTTAAGGTCCCCCACCTTCATTTTTTGCTGGGTTTCAGGTGTGGCTACTATTTCCATATTCACAGAGTTAGAAAGAGCTGGCCTTTTATGAAAATCGGTGCCAGTCTACTCCCTGAGACTCCTCCCCTTCCCCCTTGCACATAATTATTTTAGATGCAATTGACCTAAATCCAATTACTTTTTTTTTTTTTAATGAGTAGTTTTATCCGATTAGGTTTTCTGAGGTAGTGGGGACAATGAGGCTCTTTCACTTCTTGCTTTCTTAAGGATGAAATTTAGGGCAAATAAAGGGCAAAGAAAGAGAAGAGGAGAGCAGTTAAGGAAAAGCAGCAGAGCACTTTCTAGGGGGCGCTTGGTAGACTTGGTGACAAACAGGAAAATGAATTTGTCCATTGAGAAAGAAGCATTCCTAATTCTCTTCCTGTGTTTGCAGACATGGTACTATTGTAAGGAATGGGGCAAAACTCTTTTTTTTTTTTTTGTTCCTTTCTTTAGGATTTGCAATTTCATTAAACTCAGCCTTGCTTCTTGGAGAAGCTACTCTGTAATATAATAGTTGATTATATTTTCTTTCCAATTTAAAATGTTAAGGAGACACTGAATAAACAAAGGGATTCAAATGTTTTTGTAAAACAATTTTTAAAAACTACCTCTTGAGTGTATTGGAAACCATACCTGCAGTTTGTTTCAAAGGGGGGCAGGAAGATCCATTTCCTTAGTTTTTAAATGCCAGCTTTTAAATAGTTTCCTTTGTAATATAAGTTTTTTTTAAAGAAAAAGCAAAAATTTCATGTTTAATTTGAAAAATGTGCCATTTCTTTTGTTCCTGATGAATTCTTAATAAGATTTATCCAGTTAGCGGATTGCCATAAAAGGTGAATGTATTTGTAGGTATTTGAAGCTGCCCATCTATGAATCAGGCCATCCCTGGTTTTCTGCCATAGTCAGGCAAGGGCCTTGCAATCTATCCAGTTCCCTGTTGGCAGCAGGAACTACACAACTGGAGCATCCTCAGCAAATGGCTGTTCAGTTTTTGTTGGAAAAGTGACAAATGAAACGCCTCCCATTAGTTGAAAATATTGAACAGTTAATTGCTGTTTCTTTAAAAAGTTACTTCTAACAGTCAATGAAAATCTCCCATTAAAATAGCCCATTAGACCTTGCCTTGTTTTTCCGGAAGCGGAAAACAAGCTTTTACCTCGCATATGTGACAGATATTTCATGGGTACTATCCTTGTCTGTCATTAGCCTTCTGTTTTTTCTAAAAAGTCCTATTTCTATTATCTTGTGATGGACATTTCCATCAAGAGTTTTCCATCTTTTGAATTTCTTTGATTTGTAACATATCCTCCTTAAAGTGAAATGTAAAGAACTGGACACAATATTTCACCATGAGACCCTGCTGCAGAGGAAAGTCAAATTGTTTCTCATATTTTGGGAACCATGCTGAAAATTGCACTGATTTTGGCAGCTATTTTTTTGTGGATCCTCATTAAGCTTGTCATCAGTTGAAGCTCAATTGTTTAGATGTATGCATTTGATTCTCTCCCTCCTCCCATATGGAACTTTTTATAAGTGTCTGAGCTGAACTAATAAAACAGTTTCTCACTTTAGAAATATTTTGAATTTCATTCTTCTGAGATTATTTATTTTGTAATATGTGCGTATATGACTATAACATACCTGTGCATCTTTAGACTGAATGTGGCAATCTTTTGATTCTTTCCACTTAGTTTCTAGCCTGCAACATAGAGAGTAATTTTGATCTTCCTAGCTAGGGTATTGCTTTATTCTAAGTGATTCTTAAAATATGAGAACATGTCTGGATGTGTTAGCATTCTCTATGCTATATAAAATTTAATTGTGAAGCTTAGAACAAAAATATACATTGACTTCCTTTAGGAAAATTAAAGGTGGCATTTTATTGTAGCAGAATATTTACATTTTCTCTCTGGATTCTTTTTCTATTCCAGACTGCTGTTTATCTAATTATTACTTCTTTTTCTTTCTTTTAAAAAGTGAAGATTGTATATGCAGTTTTTTTCTTTACCTGTTCAGTTCTCACATTTACTTTATTGGATGCTTAGTCTGAGAGTAATTCCAGTAAATTTCATAGTGTTGATTGGAATCTATGTTTTCCTAGGTCTAGCAGGATGCTACGGTATATATGCTTGTCTCATGCTAATATTAGCTTTCTTTTTACACCCAATATATATATATGTCCAGGAAACTGCAGTACATGAATTCCACATACAGCTTAGTCATGTGACAAATGCCTAACTTCAGAGTTGCTATTTTTACATTTATGTATAGCTGCTTTCAGGTGTTTGAATCCAAAAGTACAGAGAGGAATGGGAAGGCATTCTTTGGTACTAGCCTTGCCAATTGTTGGTAAGGAAGTGAATCTATAGCCTTGTTTGCATACAAAGTTAAAATCTGTGTGACCACAGTTCTGAGTGCATGGAGGGCAGGAACCATCTTTTGGCGACTGGTATGAGTGAGTGACAGAGTGTGATATGAGGTCTCTCTCTTTCCCATGCTTTGGAAACCAAATATCGAAGAGAGCTTGTGAAAGTGTTAAATGTATGCAGCAAGATAGACATATGTTGTATCATTCATAAATAGCATCCTAGTGTATTATGTCATTTGCTTTTAAGTGGAAGAGACCTCTTGGATGAAATGGTCCTGTGGCTTTAAGAATAAAATCCATGGGCTGATCTGTTATCAGATTCTCTGCATCAGGTTGAAGAACGTTCATAGATTAATTTGTTGAAAGTAGCATTGTGTTTTATAGAATTTTCTTGAAAAACAGTATGTGTAAAAACAAATCCCAACTCCCCATGTTCAATTTAAAAAATTCCTGTTCTTTTAAATCAAAGCTGGGTTTGTAATAAAATTTAAATTCTAGATATTTGGAGATGGCATGCTGAAGTTAAGAGTAAAGGAATCCTAATGATTTTGAAGGAGATGGGTCGTGCTCAGTAAGTTATTGTACATACCTACTAGAAATTAGATACTGTATATGCACGATGAACTGAGGTTTTATCCAAAGAACAGTAAATTACTCTTAAGATATTTTTAAAAAGTAGTTTGTATCCAGTGTTAAGGAATTTGCAGAGCACTGTAATTTAAAGAAATCAATCTTTTAATTAAAAAACCCCTATTAGTAATGTTCTGTAGTAATTAAAGGTATACATTGTCAAATTACTTAGTAGAACTTCGCAATGGATACTGCTTTAACTCGTAGAAAAGTCAGCAATGTCAAGTGAACCTTTGCTAGAAGTATTTGTTAAGTAGGCCCTTAGTGTCAGCAGCTCCTTTTCTTTTTAAATGAATGTTTGTTTCTTCTCAAATCAATAAGTAAATTGTGCTGGAAAATATCCCAGGTAGATTTCTCCCCCCTCCCCCATCTTTTTACCCTTTTCTTGATTTTCTGTGCCTATCTTGAAAATGCTTTTCTAGTCCTGTAGTTTGATCTTCATGACTTATCTTTTTTATTAAATGTCTAAAATGTCCAAGCAGAAAAATGGAACTACTTTGGCTTCTAAATATTTTTATTGACCCATTTTCTGTTATGTACCAGTGCATATTATTGTTTTTTATTGTTTTAATAGTCCAGATAATGCTGAATAGTCATAAGTTTAGAAATGTAATAAAAGCAATAGGATGATGACACTTGCCTAAAGAAAGAATAGGTTTGGTATAAATGAGAGACTTCAATAAATGACTTTGATCAGCAGTGTTTGTGGAAATCTGTATTTCATGCTGTTTACATGTTGAATCAGGTGCATTGCCATATTGTCTTGGGTTCATCAGCAGTTGGTTAAAAAAAATCATGTGATGTTGACTTCTAGGGAATGTCACCACGAGAGACCACAAGGGGTTACCTCTGCTGTTGCTATTCTTCTATGGCAAAGCACACCACTGGAAATGAGGGCAGCACTGACCCAGCTGGTATCTCTAGTCATGAACACTTCTGACCATGACCAAATCCGGTTCTGACCAAAAAATTCCACAAAATTTTTGAATCTGGTCACAAACACATACTTAGGTTGCGATCAAGCATGACCCCTGACCCAGAAATTCCTGAAGATGAAACATTAGAAGACAAAGAAATTGCCAAAGTTATGGAATGTATTATGGTTGTGACCAGAGATTCTACTGCATTTGAGCCCACGAAGATCTGGCTT